TAAAAGTGCTTGAAAAATAATGATGATAAAAAAAAAAACTTTGTGTATAAGCATGTTTTTTACATTTTTGCATAATTGCTTTTTTAAATGGCCAAATAAAATAAATAAACAAAAAGATAAAATATGCGATTAATTTGCGATTAATCTCGAGTTAACTGTTGATAATATGCGATTAATCTCGATTAAAATTTTTAATAGTTTGACAGCACTAATATAAACATTTTGCATTTAAGATAAAAGAAATGTTTTTTTTTTTCTGTCAATTTGCTCTATCCAGATCCCATCAAGTAGAAAAGTTTTAGTTTCACCTGGTTTAATTTGGTAAAAAAAATCATATTTAAAGGAACTTTTGGCTATCCGATAATGTATCAAAAAAATAATCGATAGATTAATTGATTTGCTAAATAATTGTTACTTGCAGCCCTACTAATAATAATAAACTTCATAGCTGCCTTTTGTTGCCTGATATGATCATTCATGCTGTTTTATTTTCAATCAGGTCGAGTCATAAAGTTTAGGTGGGCTTTGACAGGTTTGAGCTGTGATAGGTGTTGAGTTCTCACCCATCCAAGCGATGCCACACTGACTCATGTTTACTGTTGCTCTACATTTGTGGCAGGCGGCAATTCTTTAGGTGTTGGCTCCCACTTAGGTTTGAAGATGAGAACTTTTATTCTGCTGCTGAAATTCACACTTGCAGCTTCTAAACTCCACATAACCTGAAGGGAAGTGATAAGAAGCTTTAAAGTGTTTGTTTTCAGTTTCTGAAACCATTTACCTCCACTGGTCTCATTAAATAAAATGGTGCACCTAGCATGTGTCTCTGTCAATGAGAGAAGACCGAGGTAAAATCTGCAGCAATCTGATTGGTTACTTTCAGTTGGCTTCACGTATAATAATACCTTGACCTGTAAATATATATAAAAATTTGAGGATTTTATATCAAAGACCATCAGAAATGTGGAGCACGGCTGTGAAATGGAAGGAAATGACACGTTTTCTGACATGAAAATAAACCTTAAGCGCATTTAAAGTCTTTTCACCCCAGTCAACACTTAGTAGAACCACATTTCTAGTAGTCTTGAAGTCCTCTGGCTTATGCCACTTCCAGCTTATAATGCTAGAAGGCTGACTTTTTCCCTACTGCTGACAGATTAGTTCTAAAGTACAGAGTTTTTAGTCTTCTTAATTGGCTTTAGTTCTGCACTTTGATTAAGTTAGCATTTCTGCTCCAGCACTGGACTTGTTTACATCTTATTTGAAGAACGGGAACTGTTTTGTGTGAGCAGGTAATTTTATCTCAGGGACTACAAAGATCACATGTGGCACTCCCCAAGGGTCTATCTTAGGGTTCCTCCTATTCAATATATGCTCCACCTAACTCAGATCTTAATAAACAATAGCAGTTTTCCTAATTATGCAGATGACACACAGCTGTACATTATGAGGCCATCAGGTTACTATGAAACCATTCAGGCTCTGGGAAAGCTCCTCTGCTCAGGCTCCTCTCCTGTGGAATCAACTACCAGTTTTAGTCCGTGAGGCAGACACCCTGTCTACTTTTAAGGCTAGGCTTAAAACTTTCCTTTTTAATAAAGCTTATAGTTAGAGTGGCTCAGGTTATCCTGAGCTATCTCTATAGTTATGCTGCTATAGGTTTAGACTGCTGGAGGACATAGGGACCCCTTTTTCATCATTCTGCTTCATTCTATCTCTATTCTCCCACTCTGCAGAATCTATTAGTTCAATCTCTAACGTTCTGCTCTCTCTGCTTTTTCTCATAGTAGCTTCATCTGGTCTGTTCCTGTTTGGCTGTGACTCCATCCTGGAGAGAAATATCAGCTGTGCTGCTGCCATCAACACCTTTGATTCTAGATGTTGGAGATTGGCCTGTTTTCCAGTGTAGTCCTGTTTCTCTGACTGTGACTAACTGGATGTGCTCTCTTCATCCTCTGACATGGGAGCTGGCTCGGAGCTCCCATGTCCGAGCCAACGTCACACTAAACCTGGTTCTGCTGGAGGTTTCTTCCTGTTCAAAGGGAGTTTTTCATCTCCATTGTGGCTACAAGCATGCTTAATGTGAGGGATTGTCTTCGAGTCGATGAGTTAATGCAATCAGCTGGTTTTCCTTAGATAGAAAACTTTGAATCAATTTGACTGGATGATCTGGTGAACTGTGCCTTGAGATGACATGTGTTGTGAATTGCCCTTCTAGATATATTGAATTGAAAATGGATAGGAAATATCCTACATGGGTCAAAATGTACTTCAGCTGAGTCAAATAATAATTACTGAACCAAAGGAAGAGTGTTTCAAAGTTAGCACCTAGCTTCAGCTACAATGCAGCAATCAGGCTCTAAATCTTGGTGTAGGGATGGACTCAGAGCTAAACCTTCAGAGGCTCATAAAGACAGGAACAAAGTCGGCCTCCTATCACCTAAAGAACGTCTCCAGGCCTGATGTTTGAGCAGGACCCTAAAAAAATTAATGCGCTTCTATCGCATATGAAGCAAATGAAAAGTTAATTTTTGAAGGCGGTACCCAGTTTTATTCAGGAGTATCTGGGAATAAAAGCTGCATTATACTGGAGGTCTCCTCACCTGTCCCTCCACGGGTCCGCAGGGTTCCAGTGTGAGACGAAGTGTTGACTCCCCCAAAGACGGTCACCCCCTGTCCGACCGGGGCGTGGAAGTTGTTGTAGTTGGGAATGGCGGTGACCCCGAAGTTGGGGTAGTGCTGCGGCGTGGGGTCGGCCCCATAGCGGTACCCGGCTCCCTGGGCGATGCTGGCGTCTCGGTCGTCTGTGAGTTTGGTTGCCTCCTTATCCTTGCATTGCACACAGCCCATTATCTATGATCTGTTCCCAACAAACAAACAGAGACAGGCGGTTAGGCAGGCTGCCGCTGTCTGACGCTAAATCAAAACACATGAAATTAAAGAAGAGTGACTGTGCAGTCGGAGGGGAGCCTCACATCAATGATGTCAGATAAAAGCTGATAAAAGGATGCAAGTAAAAAGCAGCTCAGGTGGTAAATTCAGCCTAAATGCTCTCAATTTGACAGGTGCTGAGGAACAACAGCCAGATGGTTTCTCTCTCTTTACAGGCGGCATCCTTTGTCTGATAACCCCCCCCCAGCTACCATCAGAGAGGAGGGGAGAGGCTATTAGCCTGCGCCTGCCTTCCAGAAGATCTAGGCACTGATGTAAGAGAGTAGAGGCGAAGCAGCAGAAAGAGAGCCGACCATCAGGTGCTGAGCCAGCCCACGCCAGTCAACAGGTAGTGCAACCAACAGGCTTCTTTGAAGATCCAACACCACCAGTCATTATGCATTCACCAGAGAGCTCAATATCTGAGCAGCAGCCTACTCCCAGAGGGCCTGATAGCATCTCATCCTGTGCTTGAAAATAAAAACAGCTGCATAAACGACAGATTAAGCAGTTTTCTTTTCTTCGTTCCCGGCGCTGTTTTGCCCTTCATTCGCCGGCAGACAGACTGTGGGCTCCCCTCTGATAGGGTCAGCGATGAACACATGGGGGACTGTTGGAAGATACTAAACATGAGCTGCATCAGTTATGATTCAGCCTGCTGTGGATGTTCAAACTCGCCAGTTGGAGCCCCTCATTAGCTTCTATAATGGAGCCAAAATGCTCCCGGTACTAATTATTATTACATTTAGGCCTGGCTTTGTCCTCATAGAAACCAATGAAATCATATTGAAAACATATTCACACAAAGAGAAAGTAATTAAATGTGTTTTTCACATCAATCTGAGGCAAATGGAAAGATGTGTAGCAATGTTCTTAGAGGGGGGCCTGCTCTACCACCGTCTACTATAAATGGTGATATCTTACATCTGGCAGTAACAGAGTGATATAACGCGTTATTAACAACATTTTATTAGAGTTACTAAGGTAGGCAATGTTCTACAATCTGAGCTGAACGAGCCACGGCCAACAGTCTAAATAAAGAGGAGAAGATTATTCTTCTTTGTTATCGTTGTTTTATATCAGGAGACTCGTCAGCAAAACCCCTGTTTGACCAAATTTCACAGTAAAACCTAACAACCTCTCATAATGTAGCTCTGTTAAAGGAAAAGTCCAGTTACATTCAGAATACAAACTTCTGAAAGCACTTTAAATATGAAATGATTACCTCCTGTTCAATAAATGATCAGTGTTTTTAATTCAGAGTAATTTAGATTCAGATTTATTTAGTTTTTTTTTGTGTGTCCTGTTTAGCGTATATCGAAAATTGCCGATTTATATGACTAGCGATAAAACGGTTTGTTTTTTCGCATTGAGTGAGTCACAAGATCAACAACCAGATGTTACTACTGGCGTAAAAATAGGAAAAAGAGGACAGGATGTAGGAGGAGGATGACCTTTTTTAACGGCTACTCACATGAACAATTTGATAAAGCTCCTGAGCTATCTCTATAGTTCTGCTGCTATAGGCTTAGACTGCTGGAGGACATAGGGACCCCTATTTCATCATTCTGCTTCATTCT